TCATTTTTTGTGTGGCTTTTTTCACGGTTTGTTAACATGCTGTGTGGGTGTGTACTTGACTAGCTGATATCGACATAACGGGAAACATCTGGTTTGACTATTCTTCACCTGTAGTTTGAATGCTGAACATTTGCCTGTTTAAATCATAAGACCAGTCACTATACAGAGATGTGCTTCTGAATGTGGACGATGTGTCTTCTGCATGCAGTAATGCAGTTCTGCTTATGTTGAGTGATGTAAACAACTGATCGATTTAAACTCTTTAAAGTCAAAATTGATCATTAGATTTTTTATGACACAACAGTGGTGAGTGTTCCCACCTTCTGCTCTTTGTAACTTAACTTAATATTTCCGTTTTCGAGTTTTGGACATCAATTTTGGAGTATATCTTCGCAGTAGCGATTGACCGCAAAGTAAAGCTGCCGGAAATGTACAACCCCACATCTGGTCTCAAACCAGGAAGTTAGCATTTTCTCGTGCACAGGGTCAATTTAAAACAAAACATAGATGACATTTTGTCACCTAGGCAACCACCAAGATCCCACTGCCTGCACATTTATTATGATGATCTGGGAACAACACCGACACCAGGATATCAGATCATCCGCAACTGCAAGCCTCCCAAAAACATCAGAATGACCTTTATTGGAAAATGTTAGCTGCTAACCAGAGGGCCACTTTCTACAATACTCAAGTGATCGAACTTTGTTCACACATGAACTACAACAGTAGAAATCATGAGGAAACAAGTAAAGACCTCATTGAGCAGCTGGAGGAGGCTTCTAGTAATAAGCCCAATAACAACAGTGAGACAAAGGCTCTCACAAATGACAATCAAGCAGTTGTCAAAATCGATGATCTGATAATTACCCTGCAGGAACAAATCAGCCACCCTGCCAAAGAGCAGTGTGTGGAGTCTGCCATTCAAACCACAGAGGCTTCACACACAGACTCTGTAGGCCTGAAGTCTTCTAGAGAGGCTGAATTGGAGCTCCAGTGTAAGAATCAACAAGAGCAGATAGAGATGCTCCAGAAACAGCTCCTAGCAGCTCAGAACCAACTCAAAAAGCAGACCATTATACATAGTCAGGAGCAGGAGACACTCCACATGGAAATTAGTGACCTGAAGTCCCAGCTCTGCTCCAACAAGGCCCTTCGTGATTTGAAGGTAGAGACTCTTGACCGAGAGCTGAAAGAAGCCAACCTTAAAAATCACACAGGAGCCAAAAGAACAAAATTCAACCACAGCAAATGAAATGCAAAAAATTGGAGCCTATGGAAGCAAAAGACACTGGAGGACAGGAGAAGAAAAAGAGGCCTCTCTGCCATCACCTTGAATGTCTTTGCAGTAGACTCTGAAAGGAAAAGACACTGGAGGACAGGAGATGACAGAAACTTTCTCCCTCTCCCTTCTCACTTTCTCCCTCTCCCTTCTCACTTTCTCCCTCTCCCTTCTCACTTTCTCCCTCTCCCTTCCCTTATCATTCCTGCTTGGCTTTCTCATGTCTCTGTCTAGTCTTGTCTGCTTCTCTCCCTCTACCCTGAAAGAGTCTCATAGTCTGTTTTCTAAAACCTAAAAGAGGAATTATGGATTTGATCAACTGGTCCATGAATGCAATTGACACCCTCTTCTCGACGAGAAGCCTGGGTTCAGGAGAGCCCATTGAAGACATCTATCTTTTTGGAACCATGATAACAGGGTTCTTGCTGATCGGCGCTGGCTTGGCCCTGGCTTATCGAAGAATAAAGAAAGCGGAAACAGCTGTTCAAATCCCCACAAGGCTGCCCGCTATGTTGACCGGAACGATGGAGCGAGCTGTGGCTTCTCAGAATGGGCTCATTAGACGCAGCATGGATAACATCTTGGAGAAGCTTGCGGCTGCTGTGAGTGCTGAGACTCTGACAACATCTGACAACATCTTGGAGAGGCTCACAGCTGTCGTGAACACTCATGCTCTATGAGAAAACTGGATAACATCTTGGTGTAGCTGGATAACATCGTGGAGAGGCTCACAGCTCTCCAACGGGAATGGTGAGGAACCAGTGATGGACATTAGATTGACTGTAAAATTGACATGCAGTGGTTCGGACTAAAGCAAGAACACCACCATTATTTCATGCGGCTACCATATCGGCGCCAGCTGCGGTCTCAAGGCTGGAGCTGAACATAACAAACAATTTCTCCCCTGATAACAAACTGTGTTTAGACTCTTCGTTCCAAACGCCTTCGTACGCTTATCTCCAAGGCCGAGTCGGACCGCGGGTCTGGGCCCAGCGCTGGATGAATAGCTGCAGGGCAGGATGGCTGTGTCTGGCTTACTTCTCACCCCTTACCCACCCCTGTTGCTTCATGATGTTGTGATGTGGACATTTATGTGCTCTTTGTGCAGAGGAGGGTTTTTTTTTGTTTTCTGTTCTCATGCTGTCCCCCCATAGGAGCCCAGCATGAGTAGAGGTCTCTTTTTTTCGCTTCCTCGACTTGCCCATTGTATTGT